TTTTTTTTTGTTTATCTTGTTGTTCCCATCCATATTCAGGGATGAAGAACCATGATGCTTGCTATAAAAAAAAGGTAAATAACATTTTTATTCAATTTATTTTTTATAATTTTGTTGTTCTATATTATGATAACCTAAAGTTTAATACTATGTTTATATCAGTGTTTGTAAATTATAATTAAATTGATATTTGTGTTTAAAATTATTTTTGACAACACATTCAGAGCCAATATGATGCGAGGTAAATTATAAAAAAATGGTAAAATAATAAATTTATTTATATAATTACATTGGTGTTTATGACTCTTCCTCTGTATGAATAATCAATTTGATAAACTATAAGTTTCATATCATGATACAAAAACCAAACAAAATATTACCTGGAAAAAGATTTAGGGTTTTTGGTGTAACATTAATTGTGTGTTGTAGATCTGAGAAACCGTACGTCCCGGGGGTGAGTTTTCTTGGTCTGTTCTATTTGAATTGCATCTTTTGTCTGCAGTTCGTTGCATTGTGTTATATGTCACCTTCTCGGAAATTGCTGTTAGTTCAAAATAAACATGTCAATCTCGTAATTTTTTTTTTTATAAAAAAAGGTAAAATCATATATTTATTTATATAACTAAATTGGTGCTTATGATTGGAATCTATATGAATGAACACTTGGATGAATTGCAGACAAAAGGTAAAACTTAATAGTTTTTAGTTTCATAAATTAAAATTTTGTACTGAAGGTTTCAGCTTACATGGAATAAAAAAGAAAGCGAACACAATATAACCTGGAAAAAGGTTTAGAGTTACTGGGGTATTTCTGTATGTCTGCTTGTTTGAATAACCCTCCAATTCACCTCGATGTTGTGCATCTTTTTTGTAAGTTCTTCTTGCTGCTTCGTGTCCTCTATGCATGTTTTATTACTCTTCAGTTATGTATCTGCTGCTGTTGAAAAATAAATTATTAATGAATTAGAAAATATTTGAGATTGAGCATGAAGTAGAGAGAGAGAAAACAGTTACGTAACCTTCAATTTCGTTGCTCTGGAAAAGAATAATACCTCGAATGAGACTATATATATATATATATATATATATATATATATTGGTAGTGGTTATGATAAGATAGACATGTAATCTTATATGTATACTGTTTTTTTTTTTATGCAAATTTGAATTGACCGAAAATCATTGAGAAGATAATTATGGAGATTCTAATGGAATAGATATTAAATTCCTTGATTTATGCAATGCAACAACTGAATATCACCTTAAAATCTGCTTAAAATCTGCTTGTCAATATTAATAGGCGCGTGATATTAAAAATCACCTTAATTCTAGGTAATTCAGCAATTTCTGTTAAACATTTCTGCTAAACACGTGAATAAAATAAAAAAACATTTTTAAACAAAATTCCAGTAATAGAAAGTCAGAAAGTCAACAAAATTATTTAAAGTTTCTAATTTGGATTTTTCCATCAACCCTTTTTTTATATATATAGATATATATATATATATATAAATTTATACTTAAAAAAAAAGAAAAAAAAAACGAACCGGAACCGGCGGGTCTGACCCGGACCCGGCTGAAAACCGGCGGTTTTCAGACCCGCCGGTACAGGGCCGGTTCATTGGACCGGCCCTTAGTTCCAACCGGGCCGGTCCCGGTTCGCCCATCCCAGGACCGGTGGCCGGCGGGCCGGGCCGGGCCGGGCCGGAACCCGACACCTGGCCACGTCTACACACACACAACCCAAAACACTTGAATGAGATGACTTGGGTCTCTTCCAGCTTAACCAGTGGTCTCGTGTTCGAGCCCTGAGAATGCAGCAGTGTTAAAACTCTTGAGGGAGAGCTTTGCCTCCCTTGTAGTCCTA